GAGTGCAAGAACTCAAGGTGTGCGTCACCACACCTGCTGTGTGAGAAATTTTCAGTCTAGATTTATATCATATCTTCTCGGCTTCTGTTGTTACATCCCCTCCTGCTTTTCCCTGTGGCCATGATTGTGTGGAGAATGAAGTTCGTCTTTGACTGGTTTCTTCTAGTGGCTTCCATAGTTTTATGCTACTGTTCATTCAAAAATGCTTCCAACCCATAGATATCAGTTTAAGTGAAAAATTACTTTTCCATAGCAAACATAAAATTAGAGTATAATCATTTTACACATTTAAGAGTGGCTAAACAGAGACAGCTGAATTCCTAGCTCTTCTGTATCTAAATGCTTTGTTGTTGACATTTTGCATTGTTGTATAGGCTCCATAGAAACAAACTTGGAGAGGGAGGAGTCTTTTTTAATAGACTTTCTAGCCTATTAAAGTTATAGTTGTGTGTATTCTTTGATACTTTGCCACAATTCTGACAAGTAATGGTTTCTTAAAAGTTAGCTGCAGTGTGGAATTTGAAAGCATATCAAGAAACTTTCTGTATTTTGTTATGTAGAAATCTATTGGTGTGTTTTGCACTTAGAATGACTTTGTAAACTGCATGCTTTTGACCTTGTGACTGACTCAAAGGGAACTCAAGAGCCTCTTTGCCACCCTTTAGGAATGGCTGTTTTTAATCAGGAGGAGATCTTGAAAACGGACTTAGGTCCTTGTCTCTCCTAGCCGGGAATAAGAAGTGTGGTTGGAACTAAAGGAGAACTGACATCCCTGAAGTCAGGCAGCTGGTTGTCACCTTCAGAGCTGCAGCTGCTGTATTTCAGAGATCTTCACTGACTTTTATAAATACATGTCTGTGTTTCTGCTGTGTGTGGTGCCAATTCCCTGGGTCCCCTGTGTCAGGTGTGTCAGTTTAGCTTTGTGACTGCCTTGATTGTGTCTTAATATGCTTTTAAGTATCTGATGTTCACTCCAAAGGAATTTAAGCTTTGTAGGAGTTTGAAGTACATTGGGAGTGATCAGAGCAGCATCATTATTCTATATGGAAAGGTTTTGAAGTAACTTTAGTGATCTCTAGTGAGTTCTTAGCAGACTGCACAGCTTACATGCACTAAACTGCCTCTGCCTCCCAGGTGGAGTGCTGGGATTAAAGGTGTGTACCACCACTACCCAGCGGGTTCTTTTTTTAAAACCTATTCTTCCACGGGCCACTGAATTTTTGTTACTGATGACACAACAAACATTATTCCGAGTGTTAGAACCACACCAACTATTTTTTTTTTTTTTTTTTTTTTGGTTTTTCGAGACAGGGTTTGTCTGTATTGTTTTGGAGGCTGTCCTGGAACTCGCTCTGTAGACCAGGATGGCCTTGAACTCACAGAGATCCGCCTGCCTCTGCCTCCCGAGTGCTGGGATTAAAGGCGTGTGCCACCAACGCCCGGATTCACACCAACTACTTAAGACGTTCTATTAATGATTTTCAAAAAGGCCACAAACGGAACTGAGAGCTCCGTCAGTGAAGAGTGCTTGTCTTGTAAGCACAAGGGACCTGAGTTTGATTCCCAGAACCCCTGATTTTAAACCAAGCAACCAAGCATGGTGGTAATACTTGGGAGGCCAAGATAGGTCCCTAGGACTCTCTAGCCAGCCTAGCTGCTAGGTGAGTTTCATTCCTGTGAGAGACATTGCTCCCAAACAAATTAAATAAACAAATAAATAAATGTGGATGATACTTGAGAAACAACACCCAAGGTTGTCCCCTGGCCTACATGTCTTCTCTCTCTCTCTCTCTCTCCCCCTCTCCCCCCCTCTCTCTCTCCCTCTCTCCCCCTCTCCCTCTCCTCCCCCCTCCCTCCCTCCCTCCCTCCCTCCTCTGTTCACAAAGCAGAGTACTCTTAGAAAGCCCACATTGAAATCAAAGGACTAAGTAAAGGTGCATATACTATACTATCACTAGGGTAGGCCATGCAATTTCAAAGATGGACAGTATTGATAGCATATGATCCTGCCTTTTAAGTGAAAGAAACCTTTCTACTAGACATAGTGGCACAGGAGTAATACCAGAACTTAGGAAAAAGAGGCAGAAGAATTGCTAATTTGACACCAGCCTAGGATACACAGCAAAACCCTGAATTAGAAACAGCATCCTTTTCATTCATTGCATGACTTCATTAACTCTGGAGATTTCTGAGTAGTATTACACTTTCCCAAATGACCTCAGAGCAACTCCATAACAAGTGCCTTTGCTGCTGTTACACTGCTTAAAAATATAAATACTACATACACATAGACACAAATATACACATATACAAAATATAGACATAACCCTGGCTTTAATGACTTAAGGGAACATGAAAACATTCAGTCTACTGTATTGAGCAATGCCCTGCGTAAAACAAAAACAAAACAAAACAAAAAGACCCAAGTATGTACCACCATGCTTGGTTGGTTAGTTGCTTGGTTTAAAATCAGGGATTCTGGGAATCAAACTCAGGTCCTTGTGCTTACAAGACAAGCACTCTTCACTGACGGAGCTCTCAGTTCCGTTTGTGGCCTTTTTGAAAATCATTAATAGAACGTCTTAAGTAGTTGGTGTGGTTCTAATGCTTGTTGTGTCATCGGTAACAAAAATTTGGTGGCCTGTGGAAGAATGGGTAAAAAAAAACCCGCTGGGCGGTGGTGGTGCACACCTTTAATCCCAGCACTCCACTTGGGAGGCAGAGGTAGGCGGATCTCTGTGAGTTCCAGACCAACCTGATCTACAAGAGCGAGTTCCAGGACAGTCTCCAAAGCCACAGAGAAACCGTTTCTCAAAAAAAAAAAAAAAAACAAAACAACAACAAAAAACAAACTTGACATTCTCTGAGAATTCAGTCACTTCCTAAAAGAGTAACACACAATAATTGTACATCTTTATGGGCAACATGATAATTTTATGCATTGAAATATACAATGTATAATGATCAAATTAAGGAGTTAACTTTTCCCTTTCTTTAAAAATGATCCTCTTTTGTATTGGGAACCTTTGAATCTTTCCCCCCACCGTTTAGAATAAAATCTGTGCTGAATTGAAAAGTGAACTTTGATTGCCCTACTGAGCTGTGATGCTGGCTATGATCTTTCCTCCATGCTCCTCCACGTTGGCTCCGTTTAAAGTCTCCTCTGTTTCTTTGCTGCTGTTACACTGCCTACAGTGTTGCCACTGCTGTTGATGATGAGGATGATAATGACACAGGCTCTTGACATGCAACCTTTTCTGTTCTGGAACCTGCTATGTAGACCAGGCTGGACTCAAATTTGCAGTGATCCTGCTTTCTCTATCAGGATTTCAGGCATGTGCCCCCCATGACCGGCAGTCTCTTGTTTGAAAGTGTTCTGAGTATGGGGCAGCCACTGCCACCTTCTTCTCCTTCTCATCCTCCCCCCCCCCCTTTTTTTTTGGCTGAGGTTTTGACGAAGTTGTTGACTAAGGGTGTGTAGAAGTCTATTGTTACTGTGATTGTTACTCTAGTACTACAAACTTTACTTCCTCAAATAACAGGCATCTGGGTACCTAAAGGTACTAACGAATTAGAAATTTTCCTTAAAGCCTGTTGTGGTGGTTCATAACTATAAGCCTTGGACTTGGAGGTGAAAATATTAGGATCTGGAGTTTGAGGATAGCTTTAGCTACATTGCCAGTTGAAGGCCAGCCTGAGCTACCTGAGACCCTGTATCAAAAAATCTATTCCCCTTCTCAAACAAAAAAGGAATAAGAGCTGGACAGTGGAGCATGCCTTAATCCCAGCACTTGTGAGGCAGAGGCAGGCAGATATCTGTGAGTTCAAATCCGGCCTGGTCCAGGACAGCCAGGACCATACAGAGAAACCCTGTCTTGAATCCCCTCCCCCCAAAAAAGGAGAAAGAAAGAGCTGCCCTCCATAATTAACAATAAAGTTATGGGGACTGGGAAGAGACGAAGAAGGAGATGGGGGAGAAGAGAGGAATAGATAGAGTTCTGCTATGTAGTATAGCAGATTGGCAAGTGAGGTGGGGAATATGGACAAATGAATACCCACAGTATAAAGATAGTTCCCATTTACACATCTACTCTGGAGATTACTGTGAGGTCAGGAGGTAGCCTGTCTGAATCCTTCAGTGGAAGTTCATAGTATTTAGTATGGCTAATAGAATTCAGAAGAGAAGTGTGATTCCAGAATTTGTAAAGGTTTTTGAAAGATATGGTTGGAACTAGGTTAAGAGGTGGAGAAGAGACTAAAAGAAGACATGGTCCCTGAGCCCTACACATGAGGCTTCCTAAAAGCTTGAGCAGAGTGGCAGTATAGTAAACAGCTTCTCACTAGCTTTACATCTAGATTCCATTGATTGGAGAGAGAACTGGCGTGTGGTGTCCTAATGCTGTGTCCTGCCCTGTTCTGTACAGGGCTCATTCCTAATTCTCTAAATATACCCAGTTCCTTGATTCAGGGCTTGGCTTCTGATGCTCACTCGTCCAGGTATCTGCATGGCTTCCATGCGTCCTTTTAGTCTTTGCTTAGTGAGAACTCCTTGACACCCCAGTGTAAAGTACCAGGTTCTTCTGGCCCCTCACACCCCCTGAATTCTTTTTCTTCCTTCTTTACCAAGAATAGTATCTGCAGTTATAAATAAATAAATGTATATGTGTGGATGTGCAGGTATGGACACAGGAGATGGTTTTCGGGAAACTGCAAGGAGTAGAACAAAGGAGTGGACAAGGGAATTCTACGACATTCAGTTTTTATTGAGTGGCTGTTACTTTCTTGTCAAAGCAGTGCCTGAGATGGATGAACTGGGCAAATTCAGCAGAACGTGTCAAGGTAGAATACACATAGAGAAGACTGAGACTTGAATTTGGTTAGTTTGCCTTTAAAAAGCTCCAGGGAATTCACCTTCAGTATCTTTTTTTTTTTTTGTAAAGTTTTGCACTCCGAAGTGAAACCTTGGTGATTCTGATTGATGCTTCTTGTTCCCCTCTCAGGACCCCTACAGTGGACCATGAGTTGGTAATGCCCACTGAGGACTTCTGGGAGCCATGTCAGACGAATCCGCCTCAGGGAGCGATCCAGACCTGGACCCGGACGTGGAGCTGGAGGATGCGGAAGAGGAGGAGGAGGAGGAGGAGGTGGCAGAGGAGGACCATGACAGGGATGACGAGGAAGAGCTGCTGGATGGTAAGTACCTCTGTTGATAACAGAGATTGCTAGCATTAATAGAGGTACTGGGAGAATGTAGTATTTCTGCTTTTTTTTTTTGTTTTTTTTTGTTTTGTTTTGTTTTTGGTGGGGAAAGATGGAGAGCTATTGAGACATTGAGACAGAGTCTTTCTCTGTATAGCTGAGATTGGCCTGGAGTGCACTGTAAGCCAGGCTAGCCATGAACTAACTATAATCTTATTGCCTTATCCTTCCAAGTGCTGAGATTGTAGACATATGCCATTATGTCTAGGTTCTAGTTTAATTTAGTGTATCATTCCTAGTAAGAAGACATGGCTGAGAACCTAGCCATAGAACTTCTGTGTTCCTTCTTCAGGAAATGGATGTTGTTTTCCCAAGTAAACCTTGTCTAGTGATAGAAAGAATTTAACCCATCTTTAATAGAAAGGTATACTGGGATCCAGAGATTTAAGAGTGGACTATACTTGCTCAAGTGATGGAGGAGGCACAGTAGAGTCTCCGTGCTTGAGTCTACAACCTGAAGTGTGAACTCTCAAGTATAATGATGACTACTGAGTGTGTACTCAGAGTGGTAGCTGAGTATGAACTCTTAGGGATAGTGGTAGCTACTAAGTGTCCTGTGAGATTCCTGAAAACACAATTTAAATTTCTACTTGCATGTTTGTACATGAGGGAATTGTCTGGATAGAGATTCTCAAAACAGTCTGACAACCCCAGAATGTTGATCATCTGCAATGCTGGTCACTTGTGACTATAAATTGCTCCACCTAGAAGGTGACTGCACCTCCATGGCTGATAGGCTACCTCTAGATTCCTCCTATTTATTTGTTAAGCTCCCTGCTTCCTTTGACCCTCAACTTGGTTTTTTTGGACAGGGTCTTACTTTGTAGCTCAGGTTGACCTCAAACTGGCAATCCTCAGATGCTCCAGGCTAACATCTAGTTCTTGAAATAGCATAGAAACTTTTCTTCTCTTTTTATGGCACTGGAAATTGAGCTCAAGGCCATGTGCCTGGTAGAAAGCACTTGATCACTGAATTCTATCCCCATTTTTTGCATTGTATATTCTAGACAGGCTCTCACTAAGCTGCTAGACTTGTACTGAACTTAGTCTGTAGCCCAGGCAGACCTTGAACTTAAATTTTCCTCCTTTAGCCTCCCAAGCACGTGGGATACCAGGACTGTGCCAGACCAGTGAATCTCAATCCTCCCTTCCTCTCTTCCTCCTCTTCTCCCTCCCTCTCTCCCTCTCTTCTTTCTACCATGCCCAAATAGGTGGAATTGGGGAGGGGTGTCATTGAATTTTTAAGGTTAGAAATTATTTCTATCACTTATAAAGTTCAAAGTGATACAGAGTGTTCTGTTAGATACTATCTTCTTTTTCTTGTTCAACTAGGGTATCTTGACTTCTTAAGTTTGACTCAAGGCCATTTTGTGTTTTACTACAGTATCAGACTATATGCACCTTCCTGGGCTTTTCCTAGAAATAGAGATACTTGTGTTAGTTGTTGTAACACACTGTTTTAGTTTTAGTTTTGTTGTTTTTTAAAAAAGTTGATTTGGTGTGTGAGTGTGGGGTGTGGGTGGGAGGGAGGATGTATATGTGTTTATATGCATGGAGGTGTTCTCTCTGGTTTGTGTGTGTGGACACTAGCGGTTGATATTGAATGTTTCCCTTTATTTCTCTCTACCCATTTCCCTGACTATATCATCTTGACTGGCCAGGCCTGGAACTCAAAGAAATCCACCTGACCCTGCCTCCTAAGTGATGGAATTAGAGGCATGTGCCAGAATGCTTAACTCTTACTTTTTGAGACAAGGGTCTCACTGAAGCTGGAAGCAAATGATTGACTAGACTTCAGGATCTTCCCATCTTCACCTCTCAGCATGGGATTACAGAGCTAAAACAAGGGCTAGGGAGAAGGCTCAGTGAGCCACACAGCATGAGTATGAGGAGCTGAGTGCAGATCCCCAGCACTCATAACAGTTGGGGCTGGCAAGATGGTAAAGGTGTTTGTCATTAAGCTTGACCACTTGAGTTGACTCCCCATAACCTGCATAGTGGAAGGAAGAAATGGACTCCCACAGTTGTCCTTTGGCTTCCACATGCGTGCTGTGGCATGTGCATGCACACATAGACACACTAAATAAATAAATGTAAATTTTAAAGTTAAGAAAATAAAATAAGAAATGTCTAGGAGAATTTAGTCTTAGTTGGTATATAATATGGTATACCCTGTGATGATTTTGCTATAGTTTATGGTGTGTGAAGACATTTTTGGTTGTCATGACATACTGGGTATAGATGTTAGGGTGCTACTTGGCATCTTGTTGGTAAAAACCAGGAATGCTGCTAAACATCCTATAGTACATAGACCAGCGCCCCCCCCCCCAACTTAATCATTATCTAGCCCAAGTGTCAGTAGTGCTAAGATTTGGGGATCTTCCCAAGGGAGACTGTTATTTCAGCCCTTATAGTTGAAGTTTTCTATTTGATATTAATACCTCCCCCCCCCCCACACACACACACAGGGTTTTCTCTGTGGCTTTGGAGGCTGTCCTGAAACTCGCTCTGTAGACCAGGCTGGTCTGGAACTCACAGAGATCCGCCTGCTTCTGCCTCCCAAGTGCTGGGATTAAAGGCGTGCGCCACCATTGCCTGGCTGATAGCTTACTTTTATATTGTCTTTTGACCTTGGTGACCTTCACTGTTGGGTTTGTAATTTCTACTTTATAATCTTCCATTGTCGGGTTTATCTTGGTTTTCACACAGACTTTTTGTTTGTTTGTTTTGTTTTTCAAGGCAGCATTTCTCTGTAACAACCCTGGCCATCCTGGAATTCTCTTTTTAAAATAGGCTGGCCTTGTCAGGCTGGCCTCAAACTCAGTGATCCACCTGCCTCTGCCTCCCGAGTGTTGGGTTTAAAGGTGTGCGCCACTGTTTGGCTTCATTTATTTGCTTATTTATTTACTTGTTCATTCATTCATTCATTCGTGGATTATGGTGCTGGGGATTGAATCCAAGGCTTCATGAATACTGGCAGGTGCCCTCCCGCTGAGTGTCATCACTGGTCATTAAGCTTGTGTGGAGTCTGCCTCTGAGACTGGTTTTATTCTGTGACTGGGGAGCTGGCCTTGAGTTACAGTGAACCTCCTCCTTCAGCTTTTTTGAGTGCTGGGATTACAGGTATGTACTGTCTCACTCAGATTTCTTCTTTCAAAAAACTGTGTGTGTGTGTGTGTGTGTGTGTGTGTTTTCTTGTTCATTTAGCATGTAGAACCATAAGTTGACATGGATTGTTCAATTGCTTCTTCACAGAATATTCCTTTTTTTTTTCTTTTTCCCTTATTTTTTTGAAAGCTCCTAAAGTTGTTATCGTTTTTGGCTAGACTTGCTGATCAGTGAGCCCCTGGCATCTGCCCTCCTCTGCCTTCTTCTAGCACTGGAGTCACAGGGCCACAACTGCCTGGATAGATGGCTTAGTGGTTAATACCACCTACTCACAGGGCCACAACTGCCTGGAGAGATGGCTTAGTGGTTAATACCACCTACTCCTTTTTCAGAGGACCTGAGTTTGGTTCCCAGCACCCACATAGCAGCTCACAACTATCTGCAATTACAGTTCCTGTTGCCCTTTCCTGGCTTCTGTGGGTACTGCATGCAAGTGGTTACACACACGCACGCAGGGGGTGGGCAGGGACCCCTGTACAAAAAACAAATCAGAATTCCTGTACATTTTAAATATATCTATAATTCCAGCACTCAAGAGGCAGGATGATCTGAATTGAAGTCTAGCCAGGGTTACATTGTGAAATCCTATCTCTAAAAAAATGAAACAGTGTATTTCTTCAAATTTTGCATCAGGACTTGTGCGCTTTTTATGTTGCCCTATGATCTCTTACAGAAGAAAGCATTTAGGTTTTTGTTTTTTGTTTTCATCCAATTAGCAGAAAAATTTGAAAGACCTTGCATGCATCTTTTTAGAATATTTTACTCTCGGGTTTTTTGGGAAAATAGGTTCTAGATGTGGATGTGTGGAAGGCCTTGTCTTCAGACAAAGCAAAGTATTGCTAGGGGGTGGTGCTTCATATTCCAGAATGTTGGAGGCTAAGGAGGGAGGACTGGTGTGAGTTTGAAGCCAGCCTGGTACCGAGAGCCTGTTTTGAAAACCAGCAAACAAGAAAAAGGCTAAGTATGAGCTCAGTGGTAGATTATTTTGAATGTATAAAACCTTGGACTCAATCTCTGGTATTGCCACACCCCAAAAGTCCTCCAAACAGGGCTAGAAAGTTGGCTCTGTGGTTGGAAGTACTTCTTACTCTTGCATAGGATTGGTGTTTGATTCCCAACACTCAGATGCCACCTCAAAACTGTCTGTGACTCCACTTTCAGGTGGTCTGGTGCCCTCTTCTGACCACCTAGGGCAGTAGTCATGCATGTGATGCACATACATCCCTGCAAGCAGGGTACTCATTAAGTAAATCTAAAAACTCATTGGGAAAAACAGTTCTCCAAACAAAACTGCACCTGAAAGGAGAGAGTTGTGAAATTTCTGCTTTTTGTCACTAATGATTAATTTGTATTTGTGTGTGTATGTGAGAGTGAGTGGGGGGCGGGAGGTATGTTTGTGTATCGGGTGTCTTCTCTTCTTAAAGTTTTTGAAGGTCTTTCACTGTATCCCGGAGCTCCTCATTCTGGCTAGATTGGCAGGTGGGCACGCCCCCAGGAGTCACCTGTTACCTCCTCCAACACAAGTTACGGCGTGGTCCTCTGTCCAGCTTTTTTCACAGGTGCTGGGAACCCAAACTCAGGTCCTCAGACTTTGACAGCTAGTCCTTCACTCACCAAGCCATCTTCCCAGCCCTTTTTTCTAGAATTTCTATACAAAGGGAATCACAGAGCATATTGCATATTGTATGCTTTCTCCCAGTTTAACTTCTTTTACTTAACATAGTTATTTTGAGATATATGTGTTTTCTGGTTCTAGATGAAAGCAG